AGTGAGGTACTCATGGTCTGAAAGTACTCCTTTGACACTCCTAGCTAATAAGTTGGCTCAAGGAAGCTGACAGAACCTTCCCTCAGAATTTTGCGCTTAAAGAGGAGTAGGCAAGAGGTGCTTAACAGACCCCAGGCAAGTTGTTCTCTAATGGTTTGACAACTTACTCTGGGAGGGATCCAAAGCACTCCTTGGATCGTAACCACTACAGTGAGCTGAAGCAGTTATGGTGCATGGAGTGTTTCTTTAATGGCACTGTATTAGTAAGGTTTTGTTGATGATAAGGTGCTTATAATAATTACACTAATTTAAATTAGGTTAGTAGGTTATCAATGAAATTAGGATTAAGGGAGAGGGGTGATGGTTAGGGATATATTTTAGGGTTGCTTGTCTTTAAGGTGCTCTTGACTGTAACTGCCATCTAGCCTTAAAAGTTTTAGCCCCATAACAGTTCCCAATCATAACACTTACACCTCATAATCCCACTGTAATGTTTGTCCAATGCCTTATGCACATTGTAGTACCTAGGATCATCACCGCACCTGACACAGCAATGTACTCTTAGCTGTAATGATGCCGGTCATTAGAGTACCATTGTAATAAATACCACTTATTAGATGTTGATATTTTTTTTATTTTTTTTAATGCTTTATTTTATTTGTGCATGGTTAAATCACATCAGGCTTACAATGCCACAACAGCTAAGGTAAGCAGTTTTAAACAGAGCATGACATTAGTTAGGCATTAGTGGGTACTGCACATTTTTATATATGTTAATGTTGCTTATCTAGGCGTTCATCTATGTTGCTTAACATTGAAGGTAATTTACGGGATGAGACAGAGCAGAATAACATATGTATAGTGCTAGAGAGTAAGGCGTTGCTATTGCAGAATATGCTAGTGATAGGTATAATGGTAGTTGCTTATAGACATCTGCATGTTTATTGTTAAGCTAGTACTAGTAATTATTCAAAATATTAGAAAAATGTTGCTTGCTAGCAAGGTGGCAAGCTCAGGTGCAGGCATAAGTTAAATGCACACATTGTGTTGCGCATAGTGTGCAGCAGCCATATTAGGTGACGCCAAGTCCAGGTGGAGCGTTTTATCCGATCCCCATCAGCCGTAGGATTTGTGCCCGGAGCATTTGGTGCTCTTCCAGTTCCCAGCCGGGATAGAGTCCAAGGGTATGGTGGCAAAAGTCCCCTGACATATGTTGAGCCTGTCTTGGGCTTGTTGTCTCTGGTGAGGGTTGTAAAGCTGGCGGTGGCTGGAATCCTCTGTCGGGGCAATTTGGTGAGGTTTCGGAGATCCCCCCTTGTGCCCCCTCACTTTTAAGCAGAGGCACTGGGCTGGGTTAGGTCTGGGAGTCTGAGGGCCTCCATCGTGGTGACTTCTCCCAGGAGGGTTAGTGATCAACATGAGGGAAGGGGGGGTTTGAGCGGGCAGTCCTGGGGCTTGTTGCCTTTTAGTTGAGTAACTCAACACTGGAGGTCTGTTGCTGACCCGCTGAGGCTTGTGTCGGGTGTCCCGCCTTCTCCTCCCAGCCTTCCAGACTGTAGTGTGGCCCCCACCTGGAGCCGCGGGCCGTGGCTTGGTGACCTGTGGGGTTGTTACTGGTGGTGTCTCTGTTGGAGCGCTCCCGTGGACCGAGAGCTTTGCCCAGAAGTCGGCTAGCAGACGGTCCAGTCGTTCCGAGAGTGGTGGCAATGAGGATCTCTGTTCTGGCTGGCATGTGGCATCTGCCATATTGTGTAGCGCTGGACCGGCAGTGTAGGTGAGTCAAGATTGTTGCCGTGCACCTGAGGCGTGTGCCGGGATATCCCTCTCCGGCGGGGGGGGAGAGAGTGTGTCGGGGAGACCTCCAAATAGTTTGGCAGCAGTTAGCAGAGGGAACGGCCGCTTCCCCCGTGCCGTCTGAGTAGGCCGCTTGTAGGCCTCAGGTCAATCCCCGGTATGTCGTCTCTGTAGTCTGCCGAGGTCTCGCTGGTACGCTTCCTCTGTGGTAAGCCCTCTTCTTGGATGCTGAAAGGCAGGCAGTTTTAGGGCTTAGTGTCGCTATTTTAGCTTAATTCAGGCGTTTTTGTGAGGTGCTACTCTGATGTGCGACCGTTCGGCTTGGCTGCTAGCCTCCGCCACCCCAGATGTTGAAATTTTTAAAGGGAATAAGTAAGGAACTGGTAATCACTAGACTTGTGTGTTAGGTTTCAGAATAATTGCAATTTAATCTGAATTTAGGTCAATAGTCAGTTCAGACTAATTCTGTATCTCGAAAGCACAATAGAGACACATAATTGACTAGTGCAATGGCTGCACATGTCTGTATATGTCAGAATTTGATGGTGTCTCGCCTCAAGTTAAGCTCTGCAATAAAGACATGTTGAAACCATTGAATGAATGAGTGTCGGAGGTCCCAAGCAAAATAAAATGTTTCTGTGTTTTGTTCTACTTTAACAACCCTGTCACCTAGCTAAAATAAAATGTTTAATGTGGTAACTGTTTATGTCACTAGTGGTCCTGACACGCCACTACCCTCACTTTAGCCCTAACCCCCATTATGCCCCCACCCCTCACTACAGACCCTATCCATGGGTGCTGCCTATAAACCCTCACTGCAGCATCTAATCCACCTCCCTAGCTATGTTTGGCTGAGGAGGAGCTAACCTGAATCTCCTTTCCCATTTTGTACTTAATGGAACTTCCCCTACTCCCCACATGCATTACCCACACATCACACATTGCCACACACAACACTAATAGCGGCTCAAACATATCACTCACAACTACCCCCAAAGCTACACATGCCACTCACAGCTACCCACATGAAGCCACACATCACTCGCAGCTATGCACACATCACACACAGCCAGCCTTATACATCATACACAGAAAGCCACAACTCACACATAGCTACAACACTTACAGCCACCCTGCACCTACACAAAACACACACCCACACCCCACGTCCACTCATCATTTTAATAAATATTCACATTACATAACATTAAAAAAAAGTAGGGATTTTCAAGGTGCACATCCTAATGTATAGCAAGCAATGGCTTTACTGGGGTCTGGGCAAATGAAGAAGACCCAGCACAGAGTGTTAATATTGGCCAGTCGGCCAGACTGCTGTACAGGCAGGCACTCACTATGTATGGATAATGGCAACCAAACAAGGCACCCTCAGCCACAGTGCAGCCATTACTCACAGACTCCATCTGCTGGTGCCCAGTGCATATTAAAGATTGCTACATTCATCCCACTAAGCTAGGTAGTGCACCGCAAGGGTGCAGTTAGTGCAGAATGTGATCTCAGCAGCAAACCGTGGGACCCCAGTAATGATGATTTAAATTTAAAGTGAGTTTGTAATTGTGGCTATATGTGTGCATGAATGTGTGATGTCATAACACGAGTGGACTATTTGGGTAGGACATTGTGATGTCACGACATGGGGGCAGAAAATATTTTGTTTGCCTAGAGCGGCAAAAATCCTTGCACTAACCCTGGAGGTCACCTACCCTATTCATGGCTGTAGCCACACCGTAAAACAAACCAAAAAAAATAAATACAGGAAATCAACTAAAGAACCTAAAGAAAGTACGGAAAGGGGAGGGATAGGAAAATAGTGGATTTGAGTATGGTACTCCAAT